GGACCAGCCAGAGATTCCCCAGACGTCAGAGGTATGTGAGGTGTGTTCAAAAGGTCTAGTGCCCTCTTCAGTCCAAGCCAGGCTTGTGGATGTTGCCGGCTATGGACATGACTGGCTCGGGAAGCTTATCCCTCAATTGGCCCCATGTTTCTTAGCAATATTTTGTTTTATTCTCCTATGTATTCTCTGTGTTCTCAGTAAGGATCAGTGGACGACCCGAAGGATGATGGCTCCCTTGAACATCGCGAAGAGGTCCCAGGGATTGGAGATTGGTACTGCAAGTGTTGCAGTTGAGGAAGGGACCTGGAAGGTAATGGTAGATACAGGAGGTACGACAGATGATAATATGAGTGACTGTTTCCGACAGGTTGACACCCCCCGCGTGATTGCTGAGCCTCAATACAGCGTTATACGGAACGTTGGTCGACCTGACGGGGGCAGAGCGAATGCCATCTTCGGTGAGCAAGCAGCCCTGTTGGAACTAGGTGTGGGCCTAGTAGAGGAGTGTATAGTAAGTACTGACTTGCCCATTGTCGCTATCACTCTGAATTATCAGACCCCTGTATTCCAGGTACCCGTCTCCCTGAAGGACCACCGGACCGGTACTAGAAATACCGTCTGGGACCAGCCATCATCGGTGCCACGACACAGGGAAGTGTCGAGTCACCCCAGATCGTGTCTACACCGATCCTTACTCGAGAGATGTGAGATGATGCCCCTGCTTGCCATCGCAGAGGAGGTGTGGAAGATTACGTCAGGCAGGTCATCGCCTGCCATTTTCAAGCTCCCTTTGTGCCAGGGTTTTTCCTCAGTACAGTTCTGTGGACGAGACCGCCTCGCCATCCCAGATTATAAAGCATGTGTGTCCATTTGGAGTTGTGTCGTCGTACTAATTTGGTTCGTGTTTCTTTTTATAGAACCCCAAACCAAATTCTTTTTGGTGGGGAGGTGTTACGAACCCGGATCCAGCGTCCGAGCACGGAGTAGTAACGACCACGCCATCTGTGGGTCAGCTCCCGAAACCCCCGCCAAACGGACGACGACACCTGGTGAGGACAAGGTGTACCAGCCACAAGGACCAGTTTCCAGTCCTGTACAGCTCACAACACAGCCGCTCCTGACCTCTGGTGAGGTGGTGCTCCGACGACAGCGCCATCTATGGACTGGATACGTCAGGTGTTTGTGCCCGAGCCCGTAAGTGAGGTGTTTTAGTGTCCCAGTTATTGATGACGTGTCTGCTTACAGAGCCGACCTGGGACTGCTGTGATGGAAGTGGAGTCAGTCTACCCGAGGCAGCCAGTCTCCATACCTTGAACGTTGCTGCAGCTGTTGTGAAGTCGTCCCCCCCCCGGAAGAACACTGTGGTGTGTTAGCCTGCCAGTGGAGTGGCAGTAAAAGGATTTACCCGGGACCGACTGTTGGAGACGATCATCCACTGGGGTACTGAAGACAGGAGAGTGACTTGTGTTGTCACACGAGGCTCCTGTCTAGGGCGTTCCCCTTTTATCGTTCGTGGAGTGGCCGTACCAGCCTTGGTGGCTCAGAACCTGCCAGCAGACCAGCTGGACGTGTGGTTGACGGCCTCCACGATGGTGCCCCCAGTGGACCTGTGTTTTGGCTGACCTGTGGCCAGGGTAGGCTCAACTTCTTTGGATATTTCGTTGTGTGGCCACGAAGAAGCACCAAGGACTCAGCACTGAGAGTTGTGGCACCAGAGTCTTCAGCAGAAGACAACGATTATGGATTAATCCCCTTGTATAGTGTTAATACCCCCCCCCCCCTTTGTGTAACCGTTTTATATATTATTTATTGGTGACGGACATTATATTATATTAAGTTCTTAGCTTTCTTTCCCTACTCCCTTTAAGTTACTTGCGTCACGGATCTCATCCCTTGATAGCCACTACTGGCTTGGGAACGGATACATTATATCTTCCTCTAACAACATCAGAGTAAGGACCCCGTTGCGTCCCGAGAGGGCCGTAACACCCGGTTCCTCCTAAAGACCCCCCCCCCCCTCTCCTTCATACCTGGCCCTCCCCGCTATTCCCATCCCCAATACAGAACCCCCCAGGCAGTACCATCCTAGCCATGTCTGAACGGTATTAATACAGTAGGCATTTTCCTTGCTACCAGCTGGTGGATCAGGAGGAAAAGTGCCTGAGCGTCTAACATTAAACTCTTATTGCTTACTGACTGACTGGTTGCAACTGTGAAAACCTGATTGATTGTAAAGATCAAGAAAATCAAGAAAACATGGAGCACAATTTCACAAATATTGGGATCAAAAAAGATTTTAAATAACAAACCAATAATCCTGTCCAATAACGATGGTCAGCTTACAGCCTCTGATAGTGCTATTGAATTCAATAGGTTCTTCTCATCCATTGGGTCATCCCTTGCTAATGATATTCCATCTTCCAGTACTAATGTTTAGGACTATCTTACAGGTAACTACCCGCAGTCTCTATCTAACGCCCACTAATTCCACTGATGTAAATGAGGTAATCCTTTCCCTTAAGACCAAGTCAAGTGCCCTTGCAGAGATACCAACTCTAATCTACAAAAAAGCCTCCAGATCTTTAGCCCTTATCCATTGCATTGCTCTACAACAAGTCACTTGAACTCCAAACTTTACCAGATATTCTAAAAAAAAAGCGAGAATAACCCAAGTCCACAAATGTGGTGATCTCACTGATGTCAACAACTTCAGACCTATATCAATTCTGCTAAACTTGTCAAAAATATTTGAAAAACTAATCTACAAGCAGCTTTACTCTTATCTAGCCAAACACAATATACTTGGCTCTTGTCAATATGGTTTCACACCCCAAAAAAGCACTAACGATGCACATATTAGTATGATTAACTTGATACATGCAGCTCTTGATAAAAATGAGTTCCCTGTTGTGTTATTTGTGGACCTGCGTAAGGCTTTTGACACTGTCAACCACCAAAACCTTCTTCTTAAATTACATCATTATGGAGTCAGAGGTCACTCCCTGCAATACCTTCAGTCCTACCTTACTGACAGGCTCTAGTATGTTTCTGTGAATAATTCAATTTCTCTGACACTACCTATAAACATTGGTGTTCCACAGGGCAGCATACTTGGAACTCTCCTCTTTCTCATCTACATTAATGACCTTCCAAATGCATCTCAACACCTCAAACCAATATTATTTGCTTATGACACAACCTTCATTTCTCCAGTCCTGACCCGCTTGCTCTAAATGTCACTGTGAATACTAAACTAAATAAAGTCCATCTTTGGCTAACTGCTAACAAACTCACCCTTAACATTGACAAAACTTTCTATATTTTGTTTGGTAATAAATCCTCAAATTAAATTAAGTTAAGAATAAACAATATACAAATCAGTAGTAAAGTTGATGGTAAATTCCTTGGTGTCCTAATCGATAACAAGCTGAATTTGCAGGGACACATTCTAAATATAGCAAAAAAAGTTTCTAAAACTGTTGGCATTCTTTCTAAGATCAGATTTTATGTTCCTCGCCCTGCCCTGGTGACGCTCTTTTACCCTCTCATCTCAACTCTTATCTCTTATCTTATCTTGGACAACCCTTATCTCAACTATGGTATTTGTGCTTGGGGTTCTACTACCCAAAATCATTTACATCCTCTAATTACCCAACACAAAGCTGCTATTAGAACAATATCTAACTCTGGCCCCAGACAGCACTCGGTACCCTTACTCAAATCTCTGATTATGTTAGATATTAAGCCACTGCACATCCTCTCTTGTGTACTCTATATATATAAAACTCTGAATTGTAATGTCAGTCCTGACCTTCAACGCTTCCTAGAAGGTTGTAACAGAACTCGTGTGCACCACACCAGAAACAAATACCTATTTGATATTCCAAGAGTACGACTTAATCAAACTAGGAATGCTCTACAAATCAAGGGACACATAATGTGGAATGACCTTCCCAAGCATGTCAAAGATTGTACCTCTCTCAACCAGTTTAAGATGAAAACTAAATACTACCTAATTAACTCCATGTAACCTACCTTACTTCTAAATGTCAACCCATGTCTTACTATTATTTAAAAGAAAATGCTGTTTGTTGACCAACTTGTATATTGGCTATTTTCTACCATGTTCCCCCTTTTTTATCTTTTATTATTTTTTTCTTTCAACGCAATTTATACTTTAAGCTCAATTACTTTAAAGTTATAGTCGAAGTGTTTTTTCCCCACCTCACCTTGCCCGAAACGCTATGCGTACAAGTTATCTTGAGATGATTTCGGGACTTTAGTGTCCCCGCGGCCCGGTCCTCGACCAGGCCTCCATGCACCCCCAGGAAGCAGCCCGTGACAGCTGACTAACTCCCAGGTACCTATTTACTGCTAGGTAACAGGGGCATTCAGGGTGAAAGAAACTTTGCCCATTTGTTTCCGCCTCGTGCGGGAATCGAACCCGCGTCACAGAATTACGAGTCCTGCGCGCTATCCACCAGGCTACGAGGCCCCTGTGGCTTTAGGCTTGTATGTTCTACCTCTATCTTTAAATCAAACAATGTTTGTACTGTAACTCTGCAACTATGTATGTACTTTTCCTAAATAAATTATTATTATTATTATTATCATTATTATTATTATTATTAAATGCCTGATTGACTGTGCCTAACTAGTTGCAATCACAACGGTGAAGGCTTGACTGCCTTTGGTCATGACTGCCTGAGAATCCTTGTCTGAAATAATTCCTCACCTTGTACAACATTAAAATATCGATCAACTTTACACTTTAGGTTCTTTTTTTCTTGCACTGTTTAAGTTTATTTTACCTGTACCTGACAAAATGATAATATATGTTGTTTTGGATATTTCATGCAAATGTACCTAACTTAATGGAGAAAAATCCCCCGTTATTAATCATCATTATACAGGAGATTAACCACTAAATATGTAGATTATGCAATACCAGGACAAAACAATACTTTCAGGCAGCAATTCACGTGAACTTGGTAACCTACAGTTAGTGAAGATTGGCTTCCTGTAGGGAGCAGAATGGGAATAGACAATGACCCCAATGATGACCGAGAAGTAGTTCATGGTGATGAGAGTTGTGTTTTCATAGGACGGGACTGGTGGCCATGTGTACTCCTTATACACGAATGGTTCAAACCTGGATTAGGAGATAGAAAATACAGCTCTGAATGAAATGAAATGTCAGTTTCTGGACGAGTCGCAGTGGCTCTCAAAAGCTAGTACACAGATTAAGTACCATACTAATAGTTACCATCAGTCGTGGAGTTCTTGTTGGCCTACCGAGGACCAAGAGCCAGAACCTGTCACCCTCAGAGAGACGCAGGGAGTGGTGGCCATATGGACACCTTATGTTTTAATAAATTCATGGCTGTCACCACCAGGAAAGCACCCAGAAAGTCAGCGAACCAAAACAAACCACTGCTGGCTTAAAAACCGAGACCAACGCCTCAAAACTGTCAAAAGAACTTCCCAGCTATGAAAATTAGCTACTGAAATTTCGTGGGAACTAGCACGAGCTAGTTTGCCCATTGTTTTCCTGATTTGACTGGGAGCAGGGAGATAGACAGGCCCAGCCGGCTCGCACCTCACCAATTCTTACGGTGACACCCTGATGCCCTGGCAGAAGGTGTCAGGGAGCCTCAGGGGCTCACCCAGATATTGACGTTTCATTACAGACAGGGAGGAGACAGCACCGAAATTATCAGGACGAAGAAGAGACATTCGGCAGCGACACACAATCCAATGCAACTCGAGGCCATTGAGGGTCAGGAACGTTCACTAGATACCTGGCCGCCAAGACCTGTTTGATCGCCAAAACTCATCCACCCCGAATATCAGCCCAAGACATTTGCCATCAGAGTGGTGTACTTCTTGACATCACGGGCATAAGGGGAAGGTAAGGGAATTATCGGGGGAAAGCGCCAAGCCATTACGACTATATAATACTGGGAAGGGATCAGGATAAGGATGTGGGATGGGACGGGGTAAAGGAATGGTGCCCAACCACTTGGACGGTCGGGGATTGAACGCCAATCTGCATGAAACGAGACCGTCGCTCTACCGTCCAGCCCACGTGGTTGATGGGCACAAGGGTAGAGTGCAGGCTGGCTAGCTTTTATGACACTGCAGACAACCCAAGAAATACGAGCCCTGGAACAATTAAGGAACAAGTGAAACCGGATCAACCGAAAAGGAGCTCACTGAAGCAGAACTGGTGGTACGAAGGATGGTGATAAATACGAGTCAAAGTCCAGACACGTAGATTGGAAGAGAAAGGCCGAACCATCAAGGTGCATCACCCACTTGATCTTCTGAAAGAGGGGAACCGCGTAAAAGTGTCCCGGTTCAGTTATCGGGTGAGCAACGCCTGAAACCATGGCTGGGTCGGACACCAAAGGGCCAGAAGAACCCCTCTCCCTGTAAGACTCCAGATGTGCCAGCACTTGAAGCAACAGCTGGACTGGGTGAGAGATAGAGAAACCCCCATCTCAACCAGTCGGCTGAAAGGCATCCACATCGAGGGCTATGTGACCATATATGGTTGGGATCATATATGGTTGGGACCATATATGGGCATATGGTTGATGCGTCCACATCAACCATATCACCAGTTGGGATACAGAGCCGTAAAAATAAGTTGAAGCCAAGACCACGCCAGTGAGAAGTAGTTTACGTCCGGGCGCTTGAACGTCTGGCAAAGCCAGAAACAAGAATCAGCACCGACGGTTCATTCCATAGAGAGGAGACGGAACTGGGACAGATCATCGGCCAGGATGTTGGACATTCCCCAGACGTGAACAGCACGGAGATGCAAACCCCGAAAACTCTGCACACGAGCCTCTTAAAGCGACCAACTCCAAGGAGACAGGGACTGCAGGGACCCCCTTCCCCTCTCCGGGTTGAGACAATGAACCACGGGGGAGCATTCTAAATGGAACCGGATCACAGAGCCCGGCGAAAGCCAAACCCTTCGCAGCACATGCTACACGCCGCACACTACCGAACCGTATGGTGAGCTCGACAAAGGAGGGAAACGAGCTAGAGCGACACACACCAACCAGGCACCATCAGAAAAGAACTGACAGGTGGGGAAGGCCGGCTGCCCGGTTTGCCTCCTACCTTTCCCAAGGCGGGGATGCAAACTAACTCGCATTAGTTTCACAAAATTTTGGTGGTTAGTGTTTTTGTTGTTGGCGAGTTCTTTTGGCAATTTTGAGGTTGCCGGCTTGTTTTAATCATGCAGTTGTCTATTTTGTTTTGCCTAATTTTCTGGGTCCCTTCCCTGGTGGTGGCAATTATGATTAACTTTAAATGTAAAGAGTTCATAAGTCACTGCTCCCTGCGCCTCTCTGAGGAGGACAGGTTTTGGCTTGTCATCCCAGGTAGGCCAATAGAACTCCGTGACTGAGTAGTAGTATGGCCCTAAATCAGTAATAGTAGCTTCAGGGAAAAAAAAAACTGTTGTAGGGCTGTTAAAAACTCAAAATGAATTAGTGCATAGAAATGTAGAAATTCCATATTTATACTTCCCTTTTCAGCTACGTGTATATATAAAGACGGATGAAAATATTCCACTAATGTCCCAAACTCCATATAAACAACAGTGGTAAAAACCAGCATTGAATGTAATGAAACGCTATTTTCTAGGTAGGGCCTCGGAGGCTCCCTGGAGCTATTGGAATGATATTAGCTAATATTAGTACAGGGCTTCAGTCTTATGGAGTTGTCATGCCTACCGGGGACCACTAGCCAGAATATGGTTTAACCCAATACCTTCTTGTATTTATATAAATAAATAAATAAATAAAAGGTTCCCTCAGAGAGGCGAAGGGAGCAGTGGGTTATGAAACTCTTATGTATAAATGTATTCATGTCTGCCATCGACTGGGGTTGAAAACCCAGAAAGCTAGGTGCTTCAAAAGAGACCCGTTCTGGTAGAAATATTGCAACTTAAAACCAAACAGAAGCTAAAAATGCCCCCAAAGAAAAACAAGCCAAGAAGCAACACACACTTCATTACAACGTGCTATCCTCGTACGTGCTGACTCCCACCCACCTAGAAGGGGGAGATGGGTCCCAGTCCACCGAGCTGGCAGCTTGACCGTCAGTTTGGAGGCTGAAAACAGAACCAAAACCCATCGACCGGGGTTATGGAAGTTGCCAGGGAGCCTCCGGGGCTCTATCCAGAAAATGGTATTTCATTACATTCAACACTGGTTTTCTGTTGGGGAGCCCCTGTCGGCTCCCTTGAGATAACTACCCAAAGATAAATAATAAAGACATATCCGGAAGCGGCTGCACTGCACAACCCATCACGAAGATGAAACAACTGGCTGCAACCGCTGACCAAAGGTGACAAAATACCGCTGAGGTCCCGGCACATTAACGAGATAACGGGCAGCCTGGACCTTGTTTGATTTCCAAAAGCACAGCTCCTGAATATCCGCCCAAGAGATATTGCCAAACACAGCAGCCAAAGCTGCAAATTTACAAACATCATGGGTGCGAGGGTAGACCACAGAATTGATTGCTTGATATCGAAGGTAGATCGCTAGACTTGATAATCCTGTGGAGGACTTGAGAGACCCGAGCCCTGGAAGAGGGAACAAGAGAAACTGTCAACCCAAAGCACATCCCCGGACTCAGAAGCTGAGGCGTGCAGGTAATGGCATAAAACCACAACCGGACACAAAACATGATGCACCCCCGGCCTGACCAACCAAGCATCAATAACCCACAGACCCCTCTGGAACCCCGCCATCTAGTTCTTCGCCAGAAAAGGAGATGGCTGCGGACGAAGAAAACGTCCACCCAGACCAAAAGAGCAAAAGCCCCTGCGCCGGAGGAGAGCATGAAGCTCTCCGAGTCAACCCCTAGAAGCCAAAGCCAGCAAGAACAAAGCCTTCTGTAAAGAATTTTGGACCGAAGTGGCTACCACAAACCAAAGAGAAGAAAGAATGGAGAACACTCGGCCTAAAGACCAGGACAGCTCAAGTGGCACATGAGCAGGCCATAGGTGGAGAAAGGCACGGAAAAACTTACAAAATGGAGCCAAAGTGGCAATCACCCCAAGCTGGAGCGCCTCCGCCAGTGCCGCACAATACAAGGCAACAGTATTAAGCATAAGTTACCTGTCCTGTAAGAGCCAAGAAAGAAAAGATAACATGTTTCGAGATCAAAGACAACCTTTGCAGGGAAAGGAAATGGTGAAAGGACTGCCAAGAGACTTCGTACTGTCGCGGAGAAGAAGACCGCAGGTAGGACACCATGAGAGATGTCACCTGGTCACAATACAGATGGTGATACACCTGCATCAGAGACTCCAGACGCGAAGTGTGGAAGAGTAGAGCGAACCAGCAAGGTACCTCAACTGGCCCGATCTGCTGAAACAGGCGGAGGTGCAGAAAACGCACCAAGTTCGGACACCAAATAATCAGCACATGAAACCAAGACTGGGCTGGCCACCATGGAGCCAGAAGGAGAACCCTTCCCCCCCCCCCCCCCCGATAGGACTCGAGCTAAGCGAGAACCTGAAGCATCAACTGAACTGGGGGAAAGAGGTACAGATAATCCCACCTCAACCAGTCCTGCTGAAAAGTGCCTACTGTGAAGGCCTCGCAGTTGGGGTAAGGTGCCACATACACTGGGAAACAACTTGACCACTACGATGTGAAGAGATCTACCTCTGGGGGCCCGAACGTCCAGCAGAGCCAACTGAAGGAGTCGGCGTCGACCGTCCATTCCGTGGACAGGGGGAATGAACTGCGACATGCTGTCCGTTAGGATGTTGGACGTGCCCCAGATATGAATTGCACGGAGAGCTAAACCTTGAAAACTCAGCCGAGGAGCCATGCCCAAAGAGCCACAGACTGCAGAGAACCCTTGCAGTTCATGCAAAGAACCACCGGAGCACAGTTCATATGGAGCCAGATCGTAGAACCCCAAGCGAGCTGAATCCGATGCAGCGCCAGTCACACTACCGCAAATTCCCGCACCATAATGTGAGCCCGACGGAAGGACTGAGCCCATTGCCCTTGGCCAGCCTAGTGAGCACTGGTCACAAAACCCCAGCCGAGAGAGAAGGCATCCGTGAACCCATTGAGGCAGGGCTCTAGAAGGCACCATGGCACCAAACCC